ACCCACCAGCTAATTTGGATTGTGGAGAACACTGCTTATCACATGTATCATGCAAATTCCATGTGATAAAGTTATGGGATCATTTTGATATCACAACTGATAATGTTATCCATCCTTGCATACAGCTTAGAATAAGAGGTTATGAAGCTGACAAAAATTGACTGTTTGAAATATGGTGAATCTGAATCTCTAGTTTCAGACTTTTATCAAGGTTAAATTACCTGTAATATTCCCCAAACCTCATCATGGCGATGCACAGAATTTGTTTCCAAAATAAAACTTATTCCACTCATTAAATACATGTACATCTGATATTGAATATTTAGAGGGCTTAAAGGTTTTACTCCAACTTATTTCAATTATATTGATGTTTGAAAAATTTTGCCATAATTAAACTTTTTTTAAAACTATTATATTAACATGGACGATATTGCAAATAGTTAACTTTTGACATAACAAAAATTTGTGACATAGCGAAATTTCTGAAATTAGTCTGGACGTTTTTTTTGGTTTATACACTCAGTACTATAACCTTCAAGTTGAGTCAGTTTGTTCTAAAGCACACAGCTGGTTTGTATATTTTTTTTCAAAATCAAAACTCAATGGTCTACTCACCTGCACCCCTGTTTTCAAACGCAACAGCCTGGCATTTAGTGAGTGCTTGTCTCAGCTGTCGTAGTACTTCTTCATACCAGCTTTCACGAAACCAAACCATCTACAAATTGAATAATATTAAAAAAAAAAAAATAGAATATTTGATATTTATGCATGGAGAAAAACATTGGTAAGTGTGCATCAGATTATTTAATTGTCAAACCGTCATCATAGTACTGACCTGATCAACGATTCCTTCCAGTGAGGATAATAACGTCGGGTGGAGATCTCGTTGCATGTGCATAATACGACTACAACGCCACATGGGTGCTGTAGCTCTGATCGGTCCTGGATCAGATGTGCTACCACTTGATTGGCTGGCTGGCTGCGATACCGACGTATTAACACTATCTGTGAGTGAACACAAAGCATAGTGAAAACATTAAAGCCTTGTGTTCTTTAGCTGAACCTTATTTCAATTGGTAAAGCAACACAACCAAAATATCTGGACATGACACTATGCACAAGTCATATGGTGCTCTGATTAGAAGTGATATGTTTAGTTACACAATTCAAAAACAACACTAAACATATAAGTGTATTACATATTGTTGACCTACCATTAACAGTGGCTGGCGTTGACGTTGGTGCCTCAGAGGTAACTACGGGAGTGACAGGTGTCAGTAATGACACAGAGGGTGCAGTCGTCGCACCGGTCAGAGCAGACGAGAGTATTGCAGATGATGACATCATCGATGAAGCAGCTGTGGTAGAGGAAGTATCTATGCTGGGGGTATCCGAAGATGTCGATTCAGGACAGGTCTAACGTTCGCTGCCAAAGATGCTTCACCACTCTTATCTGAGAATTAACATAACATTGTAGATTACAATCATTTTATTCTCATTCTAATTTGGAATAAAGCTCTAAATAGTAGAACAAGCAGCCTCTCGGCTGAGATAGCTCCGCTGTTAGCAATGCACATTTCAATTAAAGAACAGAAGATATATTAGAAAATGAAC